ATGCTATCCAGTGTTACATTGAGATAAGTAGTGTTTCTGTTGGTTTACATATTTTGGTGTTATCATGTAATTACGTACCTCACGTTACACTGGTGTGTGATTGTGGCAGAGACGTGTTACGGTGTGGTCGAACTGTAATTTCACTATACTGAATGTATAGTGCGTTACGTTGTCTTATTACTGATAATGATTAAACTGCGTAAGCAAGAGAGCAAGTTGAACATCCGCTCTCACACTTTTATTATTTTTAGCAGTTAACGCTATCCTGATGTATTTCCAAGATCAAAATTGGAATCCTCTGCTGTAAATCTCCGACATCAGAAGTGGGATCTCGTGTTGTCATTTCCGATATCATAAGTGGGATAAAGTCCCTGTTACTGCCGATCTATAAACTTTGAATAGTGTGAGGGTTATTACCTTGGTGAAATGCTATGGTACGCCTCGCGTTTTGTTTTTGTGTTTAATTTCTTAAATAAAGTTTGTTGTCGTATTTACGACACTGACGAATCATTAAAGTATAGAGTAAAGTTTAAAGTGAAATGTTTTAAGCCAAAAGTTAAATCATTTTGTTCGATTTATAATAAAAAGTACCCGCAAGTACTTTCATTATTTCTTAACATACCCAAAATGGAGGCATTCTAAATGAGTTATAGTTTGCATTCAGTGGAAGTTTAACTTGCTTAAGTTTGATATACGAGGTGTGATTTACATGGGCTAGTTTTAAAATTCAAAATGTTTAAACCATGTACCGAAAAAAAAGTTTAACTTTAACGTGCTATGAATTAAAAACACTAAGTTGTGTTTCTGTGTTCTAATGTGTTGATAAGTGTTACAGTTTACTGCGAATATTACGTAGTCGATAAAATTGGGATTTGATGTTCAGGGTTTAGTGGAAGGCGTGATGCTGTGGCACTCGCTCTTGAGTGGAAGTAAGCTGTCGGCTTATGTCGCCGCGGACACGTTAATTGCCGCTGCTACCGATCACCATTTGATACATGCGGAAAGTAAATTTATCTTAAGGTTAACTCTTTAATTGGTTGCGAAAATGCTGGAAATCCAAAGTATAACTGACGAAATTGAAGTAGAGCAAATTAGTTCTGACATTGAAGTGAGTTCACATGAGAATCGGACTGTACCAGAGGAGGTCATGTAGCCGCAGCTCAGTATTTGATGTCCTGGAAAGGCGAATGGTGTCCCGAGAGTAGTGCTGCCATTGTTTGAAAAAAAAATTATTACTGAATCTTTTTAATGTTTTCTTTTGTGTTACAGTAGCACGTGTGATGTGACTACATGTGCGTGAGTTTGAGGTGAGTGTGTATGCCTCGCTGGTCGGAACGGACTGCCGGGTCCAGATGTAGCATGGCTTGGCTTCGGCACACGCGTATGCTGTACGCGTGACGGATGATTTCCCGGAGCGCGTGTATGCTATACATGGCGATGCCTCTGAAGTCGTGTACTCCGTATGCGCTGGAGTCGTACACTGTGTGCGCAGAAGTAGTGTTTTCTGAACATGTATCAGGCTCTGTCCTGGCAGGCGCTGTCCTGGTTCACGTGTTTTACGTGGGAACTCACAAGTTAAAATACGAGTGTGTGAGTTACATCGTATGGAGATGTAGCCATACTTGTGAAAGCGAAGTGCTTTCTTATAGTCCACGGTATGAAAGCGTATTTCTGTTTGAGGGACTCGTATGCGTGATTGATGAGAGGATAGGCAGCTGTGTATGTTGTCCTGATAGTTAACAACTTGTTTTTCACGCAGATCATGATGACTACAACCTCGACGATGCCTGTGAACCCTCAGGTGCTCCCGCTGCTCCCGTTGACGCTTGGAGTGCATGGTACGGTGCAGCGTTCCGCTGGCGCTGGTGCGGCGCGAAGGCTCGCTGGTGCGAGTGCGGCACGCCCTGTGCTGATGTTTTGACCATGTGAGCTTGCTTCATGGCAGCTAACTATGGCGTGTGTTGGTTTGTTTTAATAGCCACGTGCGCTTGCCTTACGCCTGCCGCAGAGGCGAGCAGTGAGCGACGTGTTGATGTTTACTATGTGAGCAAACCCAGCGGTGTGCTGATGAATACTGGTGAGTCGTATCCATTTTATTATGATTCCGGGCCGGATGCCCTCTCACCAAAGATGGTGTTGTAGCAAAAGTGTAAATAATATTGTAAATTCAACCGAAATCAGTCATGTTAGTGTGCAAAGTACCCCACAAATACCCCCATGATCATGTGAGGAAGATCCCCGATCACCAAGTTCCTCGAGAGTTAGATGTCATAGTTGATGACAGTGGTAGTGAGACCAAATTTGATTAAGAATGCTTGTATACTCATACTCAAAACTTTAGACCGCACCTCATGAGTAACATGTGGCGATGGGTCTGTAGGAAATCGTTGGTGCGATTTCTGTCTGTGTTGGTGCATATTTGGCGGCAGATATGTAGGGAATCGTTGGTGCGATTCTGGCATATGTGGCGGCAGATGTGTTGTAGCATATTTGGCAGTGGATATGTGGAGAATCGTTGGTGCGATTCTGGCATATGTAACGGCAGATATGTAAAGAATCGTTGGTGCGATTCTGGCCTGTGTTGGTGCACAGAGCCCCTCGTGTATTATAGCATATGTGACGGCAGATATGTGGAGAATCGTTGGTGCGATTCTGGCATATGTGACGGCGGATATGTAAAGAATCGTTGGTGCGATTCTGGTCTGTGTTGGTGCACAGATTTCAATGAAAGTTTCACGAGTTGAATATGCATTGCTTATGAATTGTAAAGAGTAAAAAATTGTTAAAATTACTGTGTTGGAACTTGTTGATCGGACCTTCCACGATAAATCATGTTGTGCAGGAAGCACTGTGTAAGAAGCCTTAATAACAAAGCATTGTCAATTATGACAGTTGACTATTGTACTTAGACTTAGGAGAAGTAAAGTACCATTTTGAATCAACCTTGTTTCTATTGGCAGAATAGCCGAGCTCGATTAATCACTAAGCATATTTTGTCTCCAGGCACTGCAACCGAGGACGGCTGCTAGTCAGGAGTGGCCGTGTTGTGGATTGATGGCGCCATAGTGCAACAAGCAGCGCCGTCTAACAATTAATTTTGCGAACTAATATGTACCTGCTCATGTCAGGACGGACGAGCGGATGAATTGGTGGACTAATAGTGTTGGTTACAGGAATGCACGAAAATACACGCCCGAGGACGGTCGTACGTCAGGATGACCGTGTCGGAGCGTCTATAAAATACCCGGTTGGATCGAGGTGCGATGGAGGATATATCGAGAAACCCCCTCTTGTGTGTGTAGTATAAAGTTCACTGTAGGTGCCGTGCGCGAGAGATTCCGCTCAAGTCATTCAACGAGTATGGTCACTCTACTATTGTTAAGATAGTGTCGTGGTTCTGTTCGTTGTTGTAATTCTTCTAGTGCAGACAAGAAGGATTGGTGTTGCTGAGATGCTATCCAGTGTTACATTGAGATAAGTAGTGTTTCTGTTGGTTTACATATTTTGGTGTTATCATGTAATTACGTACCTCACGTTACACTGGTGTGTGATTGTGGCAGAGACGTGTTACGGTGTGGTCGAACTGTAATTTCACTATACTGAATGTATAGTGCGTTACGTTGTCTTATTACTGATAATGATTAAACTGCATAAGCAAGAGAGCAAGTTGAACATCCGCTCTCACACTTTTATTATTTTTAGCAGTTAACGCTATCCTGATGTATTTCCAAGATCAAAATTGGAATCCTCTGCGGTAAATCTCCGACATCAGAAGTGGGATCTCGTGTTGTCATTTCCGATAAGTATAAAATAGCAGTTTAACGCTGCTGTGTTTCGTATGGTGAGTGTAGAGAACCGGAGACCCATTTTATTGGAAAAGAGGCATTCTATATTAGTCCTCACGGGTGATAATGCATCTGCATTTTGATCCATGATGCAATTGAGGATAGATGTAAATGTCTATGGGCCATAGAAATCCTTTACCATCAGGTGGACTGAGTGCTCGTTTGTCACACTTATCATATATAAAAAATGTATATAAAAGTAGAAAGAAATATTTGGTGTCGTTTTTGTAAAATGCACGAACATTAGCAAACCACTTTTTAGGGTTCCGTTTCCAAATGACAAAAAATGGAACCCTTGTGTATTTGTCATGTCTGTCTGTCTGTCTGTCCATCCGTATATCACAGCCATTTGTTTCCGAATGCTTCGTGCCAAAAATTTCATTGAAACTTGGTAAGTATGATTGGAAGATGTATTCTGTGAAGTGCATTAAGATTTTCACACAAAAATAGAAAAAAAAAAACAATAAATTTTGGGGGTTCCCTATACTTAGAACTGAAACTCAAATTTTTTTCATCAAACCCATACGTGTGGGGTATCTATGGATAGATCTTCAAAAATGATATTATGTTTTCTACTATCATTTTGTTCTAAACAGAATAGTTTGCGAGAGAGACACTTCCAAAGCGCTAACTAGTGCTTTAACTTCTAAAATTCTAAAATAAGATAATATAATTCTCTTATTTTAGAAAACTAAAAAAAATTCTTTCATTCAATCAACTCAAATATAAAAAAAAGCATTTAATTTCATAAACATTAACCTTCTGCATACACCGTGAACCATTATTTTCTAATAATAAATGTGCTTAAGTAAATAATAACTATGATTCGCGCGGGGCGTGGCTTGATCGGTAGTGGATAATTTTTCGATACATTTTCGTATGCTAAATATTGTACTTTTACGATTTGGTACTGTTTTCGTTGGATACAATTAATTTCAATTACTTATATCGATCAAAGTTACAACGAACTACAAGAACTTTTATATTATGTTACTTTTAAATAAAACTAATTTTACGGATTTTATCGCGTATATTAACTTATTTTACTTTCCCGACGTTTCAAGCACTTTACAGCACCCATGGTCACGGGGGGGACTGAGGTGTATGACGTCCCAATGTCATAGTTAACCACGGCTACCTCCAGATTAAAAATTATTAATTTTTGTTTTTGTTCCGATCTACGCAGTATGAACTTACAGTATCATGAAGTCTTGCAGTTGTATGCTTGGGTTGGGATTTAATTTTATTAATTATGGGATCCCAAGCAGATGGTAGCACCCAGCCATCTTCTCTATTGAAATTAGGATGTTTTTTGATTTCAATAGCCTCGCGAATCATCCTTGGAAGGAATCGGTGTTCTTTAGCGAGGATTTGTGGTCTATCAAATCTAATGTAGTGACGGGGGCGATCCTGTACGTGTTCACAGACTGCAGACTTCCCGGAGCGTCTATTCTTCACATCAGCTATGTGTTCTTTAACGCGGGTTTTTATGGATCTTTTAGTTTGTCCTATATAAGAGAGACCACATTCACAATCCAGCTTGTACACTCCTGCATCTTGCAGAGGAATATTACACTTGACTGATGGTAAAAACTGACTAATCTTCTTCGGCGGCTTGAAATATGTTTTAATGGAAGCACGCTTCAAGATGTAGCCAATCTTGTCAGTGACACCTCTGACATATGGCAGTACAGCAGGCACTCGCTCAACTGTGGCCGGCTTCACTCGTTCACTGTGACGTAGGCGCGGGACCCGAAGCTTATTGTCGTGCAAAACTTGCTTGACGTGTTGGAGCTCGGCGGCCAGGTGTTTACTGTCACAGATCCCTCGTGCTCTCTGAAACAAAGATTTACCCACGGTAGCTAACTGTGAAGGATGGTGGTGAGAATCACCGTTTAAATATCTATCTGTATGGGTCTTTTTTCTATACACAGTGTGGCTCAAGGTGTTATCAGGATTCCGAATTACTAACACATCTAGAAAAGCTAAAGAATTGTTTGCCTCTAACTCCATTGTGAACTGAATTTTAGAATTTAAGGAGTTAAGATGGTCTAAAAATGCAGTTACTTTATCTAAAGGTAGAATTGTGAAAGTGTCGTCTACGTACCGCTTGTAAAATCTTGGCTTTATGGGAGAAGTAAGCAGGGCTTTCTCCTCAAAGTCCTCCATGAATATATCGGCAACAATGGGAGATACAGGTGAGCCCATCGCCACACCATCTACTTGCTTGTAGAACTCCTCCTTCCACAATAGGTAGCCAGATGTAAGGCAGTGTCTGAGTAATACTGCATATTCTACGGGCATGTTATTTTCCTCTAGCCTTCTAGTAACAATCGAGATGCAGTCTTCAACAGGTAGGCATGTGAACAGAGACTGCACATCAAAACTCACCATAGTTTCATTGTCTGCCAGATGTAGGTCTTTAATCTCGCTGACAAAATGGTAGGAATCCTTTGTGTGTGCTCTTGTATGTCCTTTGAGCGGTGAGAGTATATTCGCTAAGTGTTGAGCCAATCTGTAAGTTGGTGAATCGATTTGGCTCACTATAGGACGTAGTGGAGCATTGGGCTTGTGTATTTTTGGTAATCCATACAACTTCGGTGGTTTAGCACACGTAGGTATTATCGATTTTACGTCTAGATTTAATTTTTCGGAGTGTTTCTTTATGAGATCACTAGTTGTTTTAAGTGTGTTATTTGTTGGGTCATTTTTAACCTTTTTATACGTACTTGCATCCGACAAAAGTTCTTGTATTTTAGAATTATAATCTGACGTATCCATAACTACCGTGGCATTTCCCTTATCTGCGCGGAGAATCGTGAGTTCTGGTTTATTGCGTAGGTTAACCAGAACTCACGATTCTCCGCGCAGATAAGGGAAATGCCACGGTAGTTATGGATACGTCAGATTATAATTCTAAAATACAAGAACTTTTGTCGGATGCAAGTACGTATAAAAAGGTTAAAAATGACCCAACAAATAACACACTTAAAACAACTAGTGATCTCATAAAGAAACACTCCGAAAAATTAAATCTAGACGTAAAATCGATAATACCTACGTGTGCTAAACCACCGAAGTTGTATGGATTACCAAAAATACACAAGCCCAATGCTCCACTACGTCCTATAGTGAGCCAAATCGATTCACCAACTTACAGATTGGCTCAACACTTAGCGAATATACTCTCACCGCTCAAAGGACATACAAGAGCACACACAAAGGATTCCTACCATTTTGTCAGCGAGATTAAAGACCTACATCTGGCAGACAATGAAACTATGGTGAGTTTTGATGTGCAGTCTCTGTTCACATGCCTACCTGTTGAAGACTGCATCTCGATTGTTACTAGAAGGCTAGAGGAAAATAACATGCCCGTAGAATATGCAGTATTACTCAGACACTGCCTTACATCTGGCTACCTATTGTGGAAGGAGGAGTTCTACAAGCAAGTAGATGGTGTGGCGATGGGCTCACCTGTATCTCCCATTGTTGCCGATATATTCATGGAGGACTTTGAGGAGAAAGCCCTGCTTACTTCTCCCATAAAGCCAAGATTCTACAAGCGGTACGTAGACGACACTTTCACAATTCTACCTTTAGATAAAGTAACTGCATTTTTAGACCATCTTAACTCCTTAAATTCTAAAATTCAGTTCACAATGGAGTTAGAGGCAAACAATTCTTTAGCTTTTCTAGATGTGTTAGTAATTCGGAATCCTGATAACACCTTGAGCCACACTGTGTATAGAAAAAAGACCCATACAGATAGATATTTAAACGGTGATTCTCACCACCATCCTTCACAGTTAGCTACCGTGGGTAAATCTTTGTTTCAGAGAGCACGAGGGATCTGTGACAGTAAACACCTGGCCGCCGAGCTCCAACACGTCAAGCAAGTTTTGCACGACAATAAGCTTCGGGTCCCGCGCCTACGTCACAGTGAACGAGTGAAGCCGGCCACAGTTGAGCGAGTGCCTGCTGTACTGCCATATGTCAGAGGTGTCACTGACAAGATTGGCTACATCTTGAAGCGTGCTTCCATTAAAACATATTTCAAGCCGCCGAAGAAGATTAGTCAGTTTTTACCATCAGTCAAGTGTAATATTCCTCTGCAAGATGCAGGAGTGTACAAGCTGGATTGTGAATGTGGTCTCTCTTATATAGGACAAACTAAAAGATCCATAAAAACCCGCGTTAAAGAACACATAGCTGATGTGAAGAATAGACGCTCCGGGAAGTCTGCAGTCTGTGAACACGTACAGGATCGCCCCCGTCACTACATTAGATTTGATAGACCACAAATCCTCGCTAAAGAACACCGATTCCTTCCAAGGATGATTCGCGAGGCTATTGAAATCAAAAAACATCCTAATTTCAATAGAGAAGATGGCTGGGTGCTACCATCTGCTTGGGATCCCATAATTAATAAAATTAAATCCCAACCCAAGCATACAACTGCAAGACTTCATGATACTGTAAGTTCATACTGCGTAGATCGGAACAAAAACAAAAATTAATAATTTTTAATCTGGAGGTAGCCGTGGTTAACTATGACATTGGGACGTCATACACCTCAGTCCCCCCCGTGACCATGGGTGCTGTAAAGTGCTTGAAACGTCGGGAAAGTAAAATAAGTTAATATACGCGATAAAATCCGTAAAATTAGTTTTATTTAAATGTGTAGTGTTCGCGTAAATATAAGAAATCATTATTATGTTACTTGCTGTTACAGAACCCTTCATGGGCGAGTACGACTCGCACTTGGCCGGTTTTTTTAAATAAATAAAAAAAATCCACAATCAACTGGAGAGATATCAGGCGCAGAACCAAGGGCTTTGTGCTTTCAGAGGCACGGATATGAGGCACCGCCAACTTTCTGACTCCGGGCAGCTACTTAGAATTTCTTTATGGAATAACTCTCTAACTGAATTTTTTGGGCCGATTCGGGATTGAAACACGTGAGCTTATGATCAGCAGTCGTACTACTACAACCAATATACCATAGAGGCAATGAATCATTATGTAAACCAGTACGGACTGAAAAAAGCAAATAAAAAATAAGCATAATTAAACGCAATAAAATCCGTAAAAGTTGTTTTATTCAATGTTTAGTTTTCGTGTAAATGTAAGATAAATGTTTCGTAAATTTTTTAACTCCTTTTTAAAATTTATGATGATTTTTTTATAAGCTCGTATTATGTTGTTCTCGTAGTAAATGTTCATTAAATAAATTATTTATTTATTTAATTATCCTTTATTGCAACGCACCATCAACTAGGAGTTACAAATGGCGGACTTAATGCTATATTCTCTACCAGTTGGCCCTAAGAAAGATGGAATAAATAAAGATGTTGGTAGGAAATTATATATTTTTTATAAAATAATGGTGACAAACAAGTACATGATCCATCTGATAATAATTGGATGCTGTCGTCCATAGACATCTACATATAACCTCAGTGAATAATTGAAATGAAGATGAGTTGAAGACTAAAATGAAATGCCTTTTTGCCACTGAAAATAATCTCCACTTGTCTATAATCACCATATGAAACATAGTTTTTTTTTTTATAGGAGAGGGGGCAAACGAGCATGCGGCTCACCTGATGGTAAGTGACTACCGCCGCCCATGAACAACCGCAACACCAGGGGAATTGCAGATGCGTTGCCGGCCTTTTAAAAAGGAGTAGGCTCTTTTCTTGAAGGTCCCTAAGTCGTATCGGTCCGGAAAAATCGCTGATGGTAATCGATTCCACAAGGAAGTCGTGCGAGGAAGAAAACATCTTCTAAATCGCACAGTGGTGGACCAACAATCATCCAGATGGTGTGGATGGTATCGGGAGTTCTGCCGCGATGTGCGTTCATGAAATTTGGCGGCTGGGATTAATCCGAACAATTCCTCAGAGCACTCCCCATGGTAGATGCGAAAGAAAATGCAAAGAGATGCAACATCTCTTCGCAGTGCCAATGAATCGAGCCGATCGGAAAGGGCTCGGTCGTCGACGATTCGAGCCGCTCTGCGCTGGATGCGGTCAAGTGGAAGGAGCTGGCACTGGGGAGCCCCTGCCCAGAGATGGGAACAGTATTCCATGTGAGGCCGAACCTGCGCCTTGTAAAGTTGCAGGCGGTGTGCCGGCATGAAATACTGTCCCGCTCTGCTGAGCACGCCAAGCTTTTTAGAGGCCAATTTGGCCTTCTCTTCCAAGTGACCACGAAACTGCACGTCACTCGATATGTCGACTCCGAGGATACCGATACTGGCTGAGGCAAGAAGGGGAGTGCCTTGAAACTGAGGAGATACGATAGTATATATATATATATATATATATACGATAGTAGTATTAGGCTGCTATTTTACACCGGATTTCTGTAAGAGCATGGTTCTTCTCTAATAAAGCCCTTCCCTGATCGTTCAACAACCATAATGTAGCTGCAGCATGGCTCTATCATGTTTAATTACGAATTTATGGTTTTGACATGACATTGATTAGGCACGTAGAATTGAGTAAGTTATCGAGCCACGTTGCAGCACATTATGACTGCAGCATGCATAGCTTGAGTCAACCGGGGAAAAAACCACAATCACATAGAATACTAGATGAAATAACAGCATTATGATTGTTGCATAATAAAACAACTCAACATAAACTACATACAGAAAAGAAGTAGAAGTAAGGCATAAAAATATGAACTTTACTTCGTGTACAAAGGAATTTGAATTTTTTAATAAAAATTGTTACGCTAAGTAACGACGCGCGGATCTCTTCATTTAAATTTAGAAAAAGACCTAAAATAAACTTCGTATACAGCTCACATTTCAATTAGTTACATTCATTTCACCACCATGCATAATTTTGTGATTTCCCATAGCCGCATAGTATTATAGTACTTCCAGGATGAAAAAGGTGGACTACACCACCCCACATTGTATAGCGTTTTATTTCATATACGTAGTAAACCCTGGTTATTAACAAACGAGATTTTAGGGACTACCTGATGGCGGAATAAAGGAAAAATAACATTTCTAATTATAGTAGGTAAGACTCTTCTTCTGCTGATTAGTCTGTCTGTCGTATCTATATTAGTTGCCAGGTAGATAGCCAGTATTATTATAGGCTGTGAGGCATTCCGTCTTAGTCCTCAGAGGTGACATCGTATCTGTAGTCGATTTTGTATGAAGATGGTTGAAGGTTTATATGGGCTGCAGTAGACAATTACCTCAAGATCGATTGTAAGTTCGTTCCTTAACTAGATTTAGGCTTCAGATGCGTTATCACCTCTGAGGATTAAGATGGAAAGCCGACTGATAAATGTTCAAGTTTATCATATACCCGACTCGACTCGTATATGAATATCGTGTACATCACATACAGGCGTAAAATTAAACGCGTAGTCACCGCATAGTAGCAGATGAGTTTAAATCTCATATATATATATATATATATATATATATATATATATATATATATTTACGCGTCTAATTTTACGCCTGTATGTGATGTACACGATATTCATATCCGAGTCGAGTCGGGTATATGATAGAATTGAACATTTATCAGTCACACATACCATCACACCTCATATTAACCACACTAATTATCACTGTATTTAGGCTATATTTTACTTTGCAAATACAACCATAATTTGCAGAGGAGTTTAAAGGTTCTTTAAACTTAGGCACACATTAAAAATACACCATTAAACTATTTTAATCAAAGGACCATGAGCGAAAATGTATGAAGCCTGGGCTCACCCACCAACAGAGATGAAACTTATCAAGGCTCAAGAGATATAGAGATGT